CCACGAAAAAGAAAAAGAAAAATACTAAATAAAACAAAATGACTGTGAATCTTTTATTACATCGATCGATAATACATTCGGCTTCTAATGATTTGTACGTATGTTGCAGACTAAATTTGGATTTTGTCAAGGTGTTAATTTTTTCGGGCAAAAAAATGGAATTCTAATTTTGATAGAATAAAATTAAAATTTCAATATCGATTAGGTTGTTTTTTAGACAGAAATTGAATTCCAATTCTGTCTTGACAAAATTAGAATTCGACTATAGGTAAATTCATTTAATCGTGAGTTTTACTACAAGTAGAGTGGAATGAAAGAAAAGAGAGAACATTTGTAATCATAGTGGTCGTGTGGATAAATTGAAGAAATATGGATACACACGGTACAGTCTACAAAAAAAACTTCTCAATTGGATTCAACAAGTTTCTATATAAATAATGGCAAATTGCTTTACATTAATAAACGAGAAAAACGTATTGATTCTGGTAGTGAAAAATTTCGAGAAAAAAGTTTTTTAAAAATCAAGCACTTATACTAATATGTTGAGGATATGAGTAGGTGAAGGTCTCTTCTTAACCTATATCTAAAAAAATACGAGCTTTTCATTCGGTAAAATATCCTTCAAATCAAGGCGATCGCAGAATTAAAGATTAATAGACTAAAATAATTATTTTGAGTTTTCAAGTGTTTAGAAAACTAGAAAGATATTGTTAAATACTAAATTTTTATTCTACTAGAATTTTAATTATTTTGATGATATGATTTTACTTGTAGTTGAACTCTAGTTTCGTTCAGACAAAATTATAATTTCATTTCTACTCGAAAAACATCTCCGTTCCTAAAGGAATTCTAATTTTATCCGGGCGAATTCGTAATTTGGTCACATCTCAATTTTGTCTATAACATACATATATAGATATATGTAATAGTCAACAGAGTATATCGAACTAATAAATACCTAAAGCAAGCCCAGACACATCATGAGTTGTAATGGAAAAATGAAATTCTTAGTGAGTTTTCCTTGTAGAGCTCTGATTTTTGCAGCAAAATCATATTAATGAATTTTGATTTGAAGCTTTTTATGTTAAAACTCACAGTTAGAGGGAGTTGTGAGAGAAATTATAGAAAGTTTTTATATCATATTTTCAAGATACAAAGTTTTCAAAATAATGACGCTTTATACGATATCTATAAAAAAAAAAGTATTTTGTTTTGAAAACTTAGTGTCTTGAAAATACAATGTTAAAAATTTTTTAAATTTTCCATACAATTTATTCACCTGAGAGTTTCAGGACAAAATTCAAACAAATGACTTTACTGCAAAAGTCTGAGTTCTAGAAAAATAAAGTTCAAATTGAGGTCGAAATTTCAACAGAAACAAATGCTTTATCTACAATTGTTTTTTTTGTTATTTATTAACTCGATATGATCTATTACTTGACATATAAATCACTAGAAACCGATTTTACCGCTCTATGAGAGTGTATTGTTCGCTGTTATCTTGTTGATTTCGACAAATATCGGATCCCATGTATTTTTTATCAATATTTCAATGCGATTTTGAAACTGGCTTACAATTGACGATGGATCTTCATCAGCACAGATTGCATTCCAAATATCATCAAGAAATTTCTTATATTGATCGAGTACTATTCGGATAGTTTCGTGGATTTTAATAATAAGAACTGTTGATAGACGTAATAATTCATCGTATGCTTCTTCTTGTTGAACATAATCTGGGTCATTAATTGAGGAAACTGACGGTTTTGCACTCAGCACAAGTGCACGAAAATCATCGATATTTTTCAATAACATTTCACGTAACTCATTAATATTTCGTTCGAAATACTGCTCTGGTGCATTACTGTGAGAAGTATTTTTCTCCTGTTCTTTGTGAACATGACTTAATTTAAGTATCAATGTTGGTAGACGATGCTGAATTTGATTGACAAGTGTTAAAGTTTGCTAAAAACATGCTTTTGTTAGTAGAGTCAACGATATGCATATGATTCTTATGACTTAAAAATAAATTCGGTATCTTTCATATGAATCTCTCGCGTTTTTTCCAGTCTACTTCATGTGGAATGCATAGTAGAGCAATATCAAGATAGAAAACAAAGTTTTATAGTTTAATCTATGGAACAGAATTTTGCTTTCAAACGATAAAAGAGATTCTCTCGTTTTCATTTATCTTGAACAAGTTGACAAATATTGCATTTTATCTAAATATAAAAACTGCGAGCGTGCAGAATTTTTGTCTATATGTGAAAAAAAATAATACAATAAATAAAGACATAATAGAGCATAATTAGAGGCACATTGTCATTCTTCATCTGTCGCCTTACATTTTTTGACAAGCTATACGACAAAATTGGAATCTTCAATAAACTTTTTCAACCTTTTCTTTTTCAAAATAATGTCATCTATCGGAAAAAAATCGTAGGTATCGATATTTATTAATCAACCTCACTATTTATCTAATGCTGCTTCTATTGTTTTGTTAATTTCTCAATAAAACAAGCTTTCTAGTTTCAAATAAGAATAAGAAAAATTTTGCAGGAATTCAAAAAAAAAAATATTGAATTCTTGCTTTTCAAGAAACTATCAACTATATTGATACTAAAGGCCATAATTATAAAATTTGGCTTTCTAAATAAACAATTGAAGTTGTATAATAAGATAATCTGTTGATATTTGTAGCAATTTAGTTTTAATGTTTCACAACTTCCTTTTACTTCAGCAAATTAAAAAAAAAAATGAATAATATCAAATGAGAAAAGACCAGTTTCAATCGTTTCTTAATTGAAATTTCTAACAAAAGCGTGTTCAAACGTTGCATTAACATTTATTGAACTCCGATTAAGAAACTATGCTGTTTTATGTAATTCGATAAAATAGTCATAAGTTATTGCTTTTAGGTTGTTCTTGATTAGTGAAAAACTTGAAGACTTGTTTCAATTGAAATTCTTGATTTTGAATAACATCATTAGAAACATGCTATTTTGAAATCTTCAAATTTCCAAGTTTTTAAAAGGTTTCTAACTATACTAGTCTAATTTTCAGCTTGAACGTGTCATCTGTTTTTTCTTAGCATATAAACTAATTACCATGGTCACCGTCACTATTGATCCGTAATTCTAATAGAAGAATTAGTACGACAGATCTTTGAGGAATCTTTCGAAACGAATTCTTCATGAAACCTAATACTAGTCCCATTTTATCGAGAATTGAGGTTTAACTGTTTATGAATACTGAAGCTATTCCTTGTAAACAAGTAGTTCACGTAGGGATTCAAAATAGTCTTGAGATGATTATCTGACAATGTTACTAATTTAATAATCCTGATCCTATTAGATCGACGTTCAAAAACTTATTCAATATAAGAAAAAAAAATCTGAAATTGAATATTATCAAATCTAGGATTTCTGATCTTGTCATACTGGTTTCAAACTAATGAACATAGAAAGTTACAATTTGCGCAAGTGAAAATCACGTTTCGAAATTATTTTGTTAATATTTGTTTAGTATATAAATTTAACTATAAATTTTTTTCTCTTTATTCTTTAGAATTACATTCAAAAAGTGTTCATTTTTCTATACAAGATGTGTCTGAAGTCAACTGAATCTTTCAATCCTAAGAAATATGGATTGAAATTTTAACAAATTTTTTTTTTGTCAATTCGTGTGATATTTGTAGATAAGAACAGAATATGAATTTTGACAGATAAAAATTATTTGAAATAAAAATAGAGAAATACTCACTGTTTGACTACTATGCTGATTTGTACTAGAAGAATTAGAAGTCACATTACGTCGGTGATCAGATGATAGTTTATCGTCTGAAGATTGTGTTGATGAATATTGATTCGATGATTGAAAAAAATGCATAAATCGTTCCATCTTTGACTTATGGTTCTTATCCTATGTTATTTAATTAAGAACCAATATTTTAAAAAACAGAAAAAGAAATTTCTTTTACAAGCAGAACATACCGATTTTTCAGCCATATCGATCAATTTATGTTCTCTTTCAAGACTCTATATCTAAAATTTGAAAAAGAAGAGTAAATAAATAATGAATATTATTCTTCTGTATGCGTAATATATGTCAAAAATTGTATTGTTTATTTTGTTAATTAAGAAGAATAGGTAGAATAGCGACAAATAGGCTAGCAATTAATATTATAATTTCGCTACGATGCTCATACAGGTCATTCCATTTATTTTGAAACGATTTGCATGTTGTTTTTCTTGGCTGATAACTGAGAAAGATCTGATGATTCTCATATCACTTGATACTCATAATACGCAACAT